AACAAATCTTCACACTACTCATTTACAAGAAGATGCTTTATTTTGTACTTCTTGATGTAAGATTTTTGTTATCGTTCAATTTGAATTTTCTAGAACGGAGCATCACGCGAATGAAGATTTTCTCTCTGCGAAGCCCTTTATATAGGGCAGCTCACGTTCTATTACTAAACATTCCAAAAATGATTGAGTGAGCACCTCGATAAACATATGAAAGGAATTAGGTTAGTCAAATATGCATGCAATCACTTTGATAATACGAATGGCGAATGGGAGGCGAATGCATGGCGCACCCTCACCTGATTAATACATAGGACTGTTTGCTAACTCTCAAGAAACCGTTATTCAAGGAAGAATCAGAGATTTTGCCAAATCTTGCGTCACTTTGTATGACCTTATCTGTTTCTTTCTTTATTTTTTGTACAGCTTTCGTTAACTTTAATGGCATTATTGTGTATACAACAGTCTCGGCACAATATGTACTTAACCGAGGGGTCCATCGATCGTGAAAGTTCTTTTTTTTTAGGTAATGATCCTCTGCAAGTGATTGATTCCCTGTATTCCCCATACGGCTACTAGTCAGGACTCAACAAATCCAGTAATTCTGACATATTTGACTGTTTCTACTTATTTAGTGATAGCAGCCAGTATTGTTACTGATTGAGTGAATATTTACATTAAAATAGTAGCTTTACTTGAGTTTTTATGATACTAAGAAATAAGCGTTTCTTACCTATTGATTAATTCAATGTATGGCTAGGACGCAACTCATCTATCTTATCTCACTATCTGCGAATCTGAATACCGTAACATGCAACCTATGATGTGATCGTACCAGCACTTTATTCCCAGAACACCATTAGTTATCACTAAGCAGGCTTCTGCTAAAGGCGAGAAAGCGAAAGGCCTCATGTGGTTCTTTTGCCTGCCAAATAAAGAGGAATTCTCCTTCTCGAGGTCTGCTTGAGTTACTAATGTTAGTTTCTTTACAGTCGATATAAACTGAAATATCATTCTTACCAATCTTCAGCGCTTGACCTCTGTGATAGGGAGCGGTGGCGGAGAAAAGGCTCTGATAATGGGGAACCGGCAAAAACGCGCCTATGTCGAGTTGTTGCCACGAATGAAATATAATGCAGCAAACCTCGAAAAGACGACTAGAAACATTTTCGAAGACCATATGCAAATTAAAATAAAATTCCTTCTATTTAACCGCTTCTAGATGTGGTATGATGTTATAAATATCCCCAATGATGTAGAGTGATGTGCAAACTTTTGCGTCAGGCGGGACTCGAACCCGTATTTCACCCAATGGGGCGTGTGCTCTATACCTTCCCTTATCGACGCTTGTTTTGCCACCAGTCTTTGTACGCAACAACGTATCTATCTGTCAGCAAACCAATTGCCAGCGGTTTGGCGTGGCTATATTGGTTGCTGACAGATAGATGCGTTGTAGCGTATAAAGAGGGTAGCAAGAAAGGCGTTGGCAATGGAAAATATAGAACACGCGCCCCAGGGTTAGGTGATACGGGCTCTAGTCCCGCCTAACACAAAAGTTTTGCACGTCACTCTACATCATTGGGTGAATTTATAAATTGAAATAGCTGGTACAGAACTAGATGGCTGGTGTTGAAGAGATTATATTAGATGCATAACAAACTTTAATGATTGCATTTCTCTAAGCAATGATTGTTCTGTATAGATGTCGAATTCAGCCTGATCAAATCTCGTCTCATATTAGAAATGGTCTCCTTCAGCACTCCTAGCCATTATTGTAGCTCTTTTCACTTCAACACTATGAAATAGACGCTACCTCGCACTTGCCCGCTGATCATACGTCAGCTTGATATTTCAATCGGTTGGGTGAAAATTGATTGTTTCGTCCCATTGATTTCAAAAGAATATTTAATTCCTCAAAAATTTTTTTCAAGCCTTCCTGTGAATCGAATTTGAAAAAGATCTTTACGTGGTTTTATAGTAAGATTTCTACATCAATGACTGAATCTCACCACCGCAGTAGCTTTATGCTGGATTAATGGGAATAAAAGGAGTCACAGTGATATCCAATGCTGGTCCACATCTTTTCGACTGCAAGCAAACCTTCCGACTTAGTGATGGTCCAAAGAAATGTTCATGTATTTTACTGAGCTCTTGTTAATCTTCATTGTCTCCTTAACATCTCTTCTCCAATGGAAAACCTTTTTGAAGATTTCCAATTATCTAATCCTTAGATAGTCCTTTCTATTTGACCGCTTCTAGCGGTGGTATGATGCTAAAATATACCCAGTGATGTAGAGTGATTTACAAAGCTTGCGTGAGTTGGGACTCGAGTCCACTTTTCACCCTACCCGGTAGCGCGTGCTCGAGCCGTTGCGCTACCTACATCTGTTTTGACACTACTCTTTCTACGCTACCTTTCCAGTCCCACTTGACGCAGAAGTTGTGCACATCACTGTGTATCACTAGAAATGTCATAACATCATACCACCGCTAAAAGCGATTAAATGAAAAGAAGTCTGTCTGATCACGTAGTACCCAATATCTGTCAGTGTCACTGGGTCCAGTGTCGATACCGCCTGCCCACGCCAGACCGTTGACGGTTGGTTGCTGACAGACACATGCGTTGTAAGTTTGAGTGCCACCATGCTACTGAGCCGAGAGGCAGAAACGTTGTGTAGCACAACGAGCCGGTTTTTTCAGCTCATAAGTCCTTTAGAGTATGTACATAAATCTTTTATGATTCGTGTTTTATCTTTTATTCGTCATAATTTCGCCCGGCCACCAACCCAGTCTGCTGATCGGTTCGCGAACACTCGATGATTCCATCGTCTAATAATATGATAACATGTTCTCAGCCTTTTATGAAGTCTGGTATGACACCTATATAGTTCTAGACAGGTCTGTTTTGCCTTTTCAGGCTCATCACTTATATGGTGCCTTTTGGTTCGTTGATCTCATGGGGGTACACCACTTAGTTATGAAGGAATCGACGCCGAATAATAAGTCACCAAAAGTCAGGTGATAAAATTCCTCGACATTGGTGACCAACAGTCGAGCTCATGGCCTGTAAAGGCGAAGCAGTACTGTATAAGTGCCGCACCAGACCTCATAAAAGGCTCAAGACATGTTATGTGATTGTCAGAGTATTATTGTTTTGAGCGAGGTCTATGAAAGCAGTCGAATGAATCTTTTCATCACCAAAGTCATCATCAGTTAAGACATGACTTTTTGCCATCCAAACTTTTTTAAAATCTTCAGTTTGTTCAACGTTCGATAATGAATTTTTCGTACAACGTCCTTAGATATTGAAGGCAAATAAATCGTTATGAAGATCTCGAAAGAGCAATTTTTCGAAATGGTTACGATTTTGGGGAATGTTGCACATAATTGTAAACGTCGTTTACATTTTCTCCAAGGAAATGATCTCCTAGTTTTGTCTTTATTTCTCACTTACTCTCGATTCTCTTCTTTTAATTTCTCACTTACTCTCGATCAACGGCGAGCCATGTATATATATATATATATATATATATATATATATATATATATATATATATGCATATACCATATACATATATACATATATATACATATACATATATCTAAAGGTCACTGTTGTTTTTTCGGTGAGGAAGCGACAAGATGATGCACGTCCCGCCTGAATTTTTCTACCAACTACCGCTGCTGGCAATCTTTATAATACCGATCACTGGCGCCTACTTTGGTTTAAGAATGGTGAACATGAAGAGTGCGATACATTTCCAACAGGTATGGGTTATAAGGACATTATAATACTTCTGCTTTGTGCTAAGTTTATATGAGGTCCACCGAATATTCAAGACGGCAATCAATATTTTGGCAATCGAAATGAAATTATCCGACTGATTATTGACTAACTTTATCACAAATCGAGCAAGCTTTCATCCCATTCGTTCTTCTTTTTTGATATTTATAAAACTCTAATTTGGATAATAAGGAGCTTTTACAACTTTGTGAAATTCGCATCCTATTAAAATTTTTTATATATTTGAGAAGCATTATTACTGCAAGCGTCCTTTCTTTCTACACACTTTTTTCGTTGGCATCTAAGATTGCGACTTTGCAAGCTTCCCAAAAACTAATGTTTCACGAGACTGCGTAGTATTATATTTTATTAGTAGAAGCAGCATAGGATGAAGACCACTTCTTCATGTCGAAACACTCTGCCATGTTTTTTATGTGTTCACTTTGTTCCTCACTAAGATCACGTCTTTTTCCCTTCCGATTTGTGCAATTAGCGTTTTGTGTCAACTTTTTTCCTTTTATCTTGATATTTATCTACGATAGTGACTCATTGTAAATCGGGTTATATTTGATAATCAATTTGATTAGGCTAAGCTTTTGTTAATCCTTTTCCGGACGACAGTTCAAAGCGTTGCACGCAGCGAAAGTCGCAAAGCGGAGCGCGATTTTCGTTATTAATCATGGTTCCTTTTGTCTTAGGGAGAATTTAGCGTTTTCCTAATTATTTCGATGCTACGTGGTTTTTATGTGCCTTCTCATCTCTTTTGTGCATCTAAAACTCTTATGCATGGGGAAGGAACACTCGATTACTACGCAAACATACTGCTTTTGGCATTGTCAATTGTAATTGTAAGTCAATTGTAATATGAGATACAGAATGTACAACGTTATAAATCTTTTAGTTCTCAAATCCTTTTATTTTGCACAAAGCTTAAAGGTTAACATAATGACTGAAATCCGAAAAAAACATTGAATAGCTATTCGAAAATAATTTTGCCCGTTGCATGATACCAGATCAGTGATAATCGTGATATCCGTGACGATTTCAACTATCGCCTGAGAGGGAGCGATTTTCATTGCTGACTAGAAATCTTTTCCCCACTCAGAAAAAAATTCAAAGTTTTTGTGGTACTCGAAATTCCTAGTATTTCTATTGCTTTTTTCGCAGTGTTATGTTTTTTCATATACACCTCAGAGAATTGAGTGATAAGCAAAAATGCGGCCTCAGACGGGAGTCGAACCCGCTTTTTATCCATGCCGGGGAAGTGTGCTACTACTACACTACTTAAGGTTCTTTCAGTCTAATTACGATACTACACAATTTTTGCTATACGATTAAGCTTATGGTTCATATATATTTTCTACATGCGAGGAAACTCGGAGAGTGAAACCTAATTTTTTTTGTTACAGCGCTATAAAACGATTTTTTGCTGAAGCAAGTTCAACGTTGAAGTTATCTTCTTTTAATCCTTGGAGTAAGTACCAGTAGTGAAAATCCTAGCACAGACGCCAGTTGTCCGCAGTAAGAAGGCTTTTTCAATGACCAAGCAAATCATTGAAAATGCCATTCCACATGTTATCGAATGAACACTTGAATCCGATAAAAAATGTGTTTGGCAAAAAAGAACTCTAAATAATAGTGCACCATATACGGTACAATCCGTCCTTGACCCTTTGAGGACAAGCGCTGACAAGCAGGCTGTGTCGTGCCGTCGCTTGCGCGGCATTTGTGCAGGGAATGTCATGTTGTCTGCGCCTGCTTCCCACGAGACAAGGCGCCGCCATCACGGTAAGAGACCGCGAAAAAGTTGAGAGTGAGAAAAAGGCAAAGAGTGCGCCCTGGGTATAGCCAACCACTTCTTAGAAAGTCACAAGGTGCAACTTAAAGAAAATGATAAGGTTATGCGAAAAAAATTACGAAACAAGGCTTGTTCGTCAAAAATGATTTTGCAAATTTCAATACGGTACCACTTAGATAACTACCCTTGAAAATTCTTCGAGTGACCTCAACTATGAACAATATTCATTGCTGCAGTTTTTATCATTTCACGTTATCTACTTACTACTTTTAGTCCATTATGCCCACATATGATTTCCCGTACCTCAGCCAGTTTTCACCTTTACAGATAGCTACAATGAGAGCACGTGCAGGTGGCTGTGGAAGGCCCATCAATACATCTCCCTGCCTCCCTCCTCCCTTAGAGATGCGCCAATATCTGGCTTCCAAAATGACTTGCGGTGACCTACCGATGTATGTGAGTCAGTCCAGGCAAGTCTAATACCAATTCTTACCCAGGAGGGATGGATGACTCGGTGAGCCATAAGCGCTAGATTGAATCGCGGGACTTTCTGCGCGACGAAGAGCACCTCTCAACCACTGCGCCACATGGGTTCCTCTCATTGAACAATGGGTAAATGGGGGTTGTCTTCACTCAAAATACGTTTATGAAAGTTTATTCACTAACATTCTATCTTTTCGTTGCGATGAAGTCTTCCAATAGTCAGAATCTAATTGAATAAAAAAATAAAAAACTTCAACATATCTCGTAAATATTATCTGCGCCAACATGTCATGTGGTCTGTTAAATGCGCTGGCTTATAGAGCCCGATACACGTGTTTCGACCTAGACGGTCTTGTTAGTCGAGCAGTTACCCTTCGTCTTTAGCCAGTCCTCTCGGGCACTCAGTCCCCTATACTGAGTGAAGGCGACGACTAACATTTTACACTGTACGTCCGGCGAAATTATAACCGAGCACACAGTGTTCTACACTCGATTGCTCTTGACTGGTATCATTGGTATATTATACTTTTTTCGAGTGTTTTCTCAAGACCACCATTTAACAGATCACATGCCATGTTGGCTCAAATAATAACTACGAGATATGTTGAAACTTGAGTGTCTCGAAAAGAAACGTATAATATACTAATGATACCAGCCAAGAGCAATCGAGTGTACAGCACTGTGTGTTCGATGAGAACCATTTAGCAGACCACATGACATTTTGGCTCAAATAGTAATTATAAGGTAGTTGAAATTTTAGTGTGGTCTTAAGAAAACAATCGAAAAGAAAGGTCTAATAGGTAGGAAGGTAAGAATTTCTAGGGCAACTGAGCGTTTTTTTTTTTGCTAAAACTACGTTTATAAAAGTCCCTCTAATTTAAAAAAAGTTTACCAATATTTCGTAATAGCGAGGTTAATTTAGAATACAGTTCTACTCTGTACTTATCGCAAAATCAGGTGTAATTGGAAGGACGGGTTTTTTGCGGTGAGCGTAAAATTTTATTATTTTTTCGCTAGTGATGCAAGCGAAGGATGTCCCTCCGAAATGCCAACCTCGGTTTTGCAATTTCCATTTTTTCGAGCTATCGAATGAATACTAATAATCTAGTGATTAGGTCTTTTAGAAAAAACGAAAGGCTCACGAGCGCAATTCTTGAAATTCTGTTGCATGCGACAGAATTTTTTTCCAAAAGTAAGGATTGCCAAGACAGTTGTGCGCTACTTGTCTTAGAAATACGTTTACAAAAGTTATTTCAATGATAATGTAAGTTTTTTAGCACCTAATTTCATAAGGATCGAAATTTAGCTATGTGATCCCAGAAAAGTCGCGATGAATTAGAAAAATTAGATTGCGATTGCAAAACGTCGTCTTGTATTTATTATTAGAACGTATTGTGAAATTATTTTCGAACAACATGCTTAGTATCAGAATAGGACTTCTGGTTTTTTCCTTTGAAAAAGGAAAGTTTTCGGGCAGTATTAGGTTGGTTTTGTTAAAGTCTTTCATGCAGCAGTATCGTCAGTGATATCTTGCTGCTTTTTGGTTATAATGTTTCTCTGACAACTTGATTAATGCAAATTGGATTGGAGCACACACCACTCCTTGTAACCGTCCGAATGGAGCGTCCAGCTAAATGTTATACTGATCCTCATCGTCCGCAGAGGGTTACTCACCATCATTTATTTAACAATCTGCATTTTATAACAGTACATATGATAAAATAGAGACATATAACGTATTTACATAGGAGAATAGCAACAATAATACAATTCAAATAATGCAATAATACTTTTTTCACCGTTTTATAAATAAATCTGGGGCTGCTTGTGATTTTTGGATAGCTTACGATTTTCTCTACACACTCGTATGCTCTTGGTGCAAATATGACGCTTATGTCTGAACAAAATCTCTCCTTTATTGCGCAATTACAGTGATGCTGACATTCTGTCAATTGTAATAACTTGCACAATGAATATAGTGATATAACTCCATCACGTTTGACATATTTTGATATATGCAATACTTAAAATGTATAATTCTGACTGAAAATTGGAAAATAATGATAGGTTGTCAAAAATGTTGCATAGTGCACACGATGCCACGTCACCGATGAACGCATAAAAGACCCTATCTGGATCAAGACTTATTCGTTGAAAAAAGCTTGCCCTTTAGAATTTTAATTATCTTTCGACAGCTCAAATCCTGGCAATCAAAATGCTTCACTTGGCTTTAAAAATAAGTTTTGTAGCGCGGTGTAGCAGCAAAAATAAGACCAATAATTTCGGCATTCTCTGTTCGTTCGGCTTGAGTTTGTACAGCTATTCTTTGAATTCAAAAGTTTGACTTTCTGTAAACTTCGGAATAATTAATTGATAAGTGAAAATCGAGAAAATTTTTCTTGATAAGCTGACACGAGGTTGGTAAATTAGTCGCAGTAATTTGGCTGACCTTTTGGCGACCAGCCTTCTTCAGAGCCTGGGCGTACGTAGTATTAGTCTATTTGAATGATTCGGCGGATCTTACTTATATGCTGCCTAGGTCAGGTTAAAAGATCAAAAGAAGAAAGAGCGCGAGACTCGTGTGGTAATGACACATTCGTCCTTCCGGTTCATTTCGGGGTTTTTGGCGTTTATCCAAAATGCCTCAAGAGTTTTACGCGTGGATGTTCTTGATTCCTGCGCTAGGATCGTGAAAGTCCACATCAAATCTTCGTTGCTGTGTTTTTGTGCCCTATGTAAACATAATGCCTTGATTTTATCTATTTCAGATTTGCTATCTAGATATTCTTTTATGCGGATGAAAAGTCGGGTATCATTTGGATGGCTCTCCATTCAAAGTTTAGGGTCTATCTGACACATAAATTATGGTGATTCTAAGACATAATCTTTGTTTCAAAAAATTCACTACAGGTTGCCGTAAAAACAAAAGAAAGTTATTTTCATTTTCAGAGTTTTTTGCGCACATAAGATATATATGCATCAAAAACGTATGAGCATGTAGAGGCAATCCTATTGTATCTAAACATGAAGATGAATCTGAATTTTTTCTTTCCTCGCGACAGATGCAAAATTTCTATATGTATAACTAAAACTGCGCACCTTGTGATAGCGCTGCGTGCAGCGATTTCAATTAGCGCCTCGAGTAGTACGAATTTCGTTATTTATTTGGAAAATTTTCCTCCGCTTTCGGAAAAATTTTAAAGTTTGACATAATTATAAAAAGACTTTGTTTGATCATTTAAATGGTATTGGCTTTTTAATTTCTTTCTGGATAGCAATTAAAAAGCTTTGAAATTTCAGAGCAATAGTAAACTACTTCAAGTGCAAAAGGTAATGCTTTTTTTCTTACAGCGTTTTATGAAGAATTATCTGGACTGTAACTAGAATTCAAAATTCTCTTATTTTTCTCTATCAAATGGCCGTATAATTATCACTAAATGTTTGCGAAAACCATGCACAGGCGCTAGCCTTGTCTAGTCGTCGGAGGTAAAATGTATTCTTCTTTTCGTTATTACTACATCGATTCAAAAAGATCTCCACAGGAAACAAGTATGGTGCTAGAACTAACATCTTTGAAGCAATCCAAAGATTATTGAAACTTTGGTATAAATACTTTGCCGCAAAATTCAAGTGGGCACAACTGCAAAACACACTACAGACTCCGCAATTAATCGTAATAATCCCTTCGTTGCTACAACGCACTGAAAAAGCCCCTTCGGAAAACAAACTTAGTGTCTGATTACAGATTTTCCAGCTATCGAATGGTTACTCAAAATCCTAGTGAGAACCTGTAGCCGCAGACGAAACCAGGAGATGTTAGTGTCCCACTGTTGGTACATTAAGTTCTGAAATGGGAAAGCGAAATGTGATTTCTCATCATCGCTACTGCATCGCAATAAAAGCTTTTATCAAAAGTGAAGTTTACACTTAGAATTGATATTTCTCAAGCTGTTGGATAACTATTGAAGCTTTAGCGAAAGAACTTTGTCCGACGAGTAATATTCGAAATT